TCACTTAAATCCTTTTTGGATCAAGACAGTGTATAAAATAAGTAAATACTATAAATGTATATGTACCTAACAATAAAGCACTAAACTATATGAAGCAAAACTGACACCAGTGAAGGAAGAAATAGACAATTCTACAATTATAAGTGGGAGAGTTCAACAATCTACTTTCAATAATGGTTAGCCAGAAGATCAACTAGCCAGAAGAGCAACAAGGAAATAGAAGACTTGAACTACACTATAAGCCAACTAGACCCAATAGACACACCTAGAGAACATGCCACCCAACAATAGCAGAATAGACATTCTTTTCAGGTGAACATGGAACATTCTCCAGGATAGACCACAGGCTAGGGCATAAAGCCAAACTCTATAAATTTTAAAAGGATTGAAAAAATACGAAGTATGGGCAGCCCCCTGGGGTCCCTTCCCTCCTCGGGAGTTTCATAAGATCACTCTACTATTGCTCAATAAACCTTGCTTTGCTGTCCACCAAAAAAAAAAAAAAGAAAGAAAGAAAGAAAAGAAAAGAAAAAGAAAAAGAAAAAAAATACAAAGTATGTTCTCCAATCACAATGGAATGAAATTAGCAATGAACGACAGAAAGAAATTTGGGGAATGCACAGATAAGTCAAAATTAAGCCACACACTGCTAAGGAACCAATGGGTCTAAGAAATCACAAGTGAAATTAGAAAATAGTTGGAAATGAATAAAAATAAAGACATAACATACCAAATCTTACGGTATGTTAATACCCACACTTAGCATTTCTTAATTTCATTCTGGAAAATAAATGAGAAACTATTCTTTTGTAGTTTCAGGTTTTAGGCAGAAAGCCACAGCAATTGCCCATATTGGTACTCGATTAATATCTGTTGAATGAATAAATCAATTGCATTGCAGGGGCAAGAAGATAAGCCAAGGAATCGGGAATCTCATGATGGATCCCTAACTGACTAACACTTTTCCTCTGACTTACATTTTTGCAGAAGCCATTTGTATTTTAAGATCTTTTATAAATACCCATCTTCTTCTCTCTTTCCCTTCCCTCTCCATTAGGCCTTCTGCATTACTCTGTGGTTTAAAATTCCTACTCAAGCTCTTAGCACATAAACTTTTTTTGTCCCGCTAGGAAGCTAGGGGCTGGCCATCTACTGCCTGGGGGCCAAATCCAGCACACTACCTGTTTTTGTATGATCTGAGAGTTAACCATAATTTTTACCTTCTTTTACATAGTTGAGAAAAATCAGAAGCAGCGTAATATTTCATGGCATGTGAAAATAAGAAATTCAAATTTCAGTGATAAATAAAGTCCTATTGGAACACAGCCATCCAATTTGCTTGATACGGTCTATGGCCACGTTGACGATAAGTGGCAAAGTAGAGTAGTTGTGACAGAAAACTTGTGGCCCACAAAGTCCAAAATATTTCCGGTACTATCTATCCCTTTACATAAAAGTTGCTGCCCCCTGTTCTAAGCTTTTGTACAAGCATACCCCTGACTGGGTGTGCCTTCCCATTCATGGCAAAGCCTTTTTTCTCATTCAAAACCCTTTCTCTTCAATCCCTACCTGATTATCACACATGATCACATAATTCTCTTCACCATCTCCAGTTAATATAGTCCAAGACAGCTGTAATTAACTTGCAGTTTTTATATTTGAAAAAATGTCTTGAATCTGTGTACACTATCTTCTCTATTTCACTGCAGAGACTCCAAGGATGAGACTGGTTCTTCTATGTCTTCTACTCCCCTCTACCTACAGAGCAGTGCTCAAGTTTTGTTATCAGACAGATCTAAATTTGCATTCTGGTTCCACCATCACTAGCTGAGCAAGTGATGTACATCTCCTGAATCTCTTTTACCTGCAGACTGGGTTTGTTATGAGGATTAAGGAGAAGACCTGTGGAAGGGTCCAAGATCAAGAAGGTGCTCCACAAACAGTAGTAATTATCAGTAGATAATTTCTTTATTTGTAATATGAAGATATCACCTTTGCCTTTAATGGAACTCATAGTAATGTGATGAGAATTAAAAGAAGGAATAAGTAAGTGGAAATGGAAAAGCATGGTTCAGTGGGAGCTCTGTAAAGATTAGCTGGAGACATTCAAGGTCTGAAATGAGATATCAGACTAATGAGGCTTTGTTTAAAATTTAACAAACCCTTCTTGGTTACTTATTGAGCTCAGCGCTGCCTAGGACAGGCCTCAGGTGGATGTGAAAGACAGAAGACCACATCTATTCTGGAGGAGATTTTTATCTAAATGGGGGGCGGGGAGGGTCGAGAAACAGACATGAGCTATGCTCTTACTTGTCCATAATATTTCTCTTCTCTCTCAGGATGGATGATTCAGAGTCAGCAATTCACATAAAAAGTATTGCACATGGAAAGTATTACTGCTATTCTGTGGGGAAATAAGCTTCTAAGTGCAGCAATCTGAAATTAATAACTTTCTCTGTGGAAACTCTCTTTGACAACATCTCCAGATGAAGCCAAAGACTGCAATTTTTATAGCCTTGGATTATCTTTGCTGTCTGCTTGACTTGCAGCAGGCATGGATCCGTGAGTCAGAAATTCAGTTTTCCCCTTCACTGTACAGTTTGCTTGCCAACGGGAGACCTTATACAGCGGTGACTCAGTTTCTCAATTTCCCAATTTCCCATTGAATCAACACAAATCATCTCCATTTACTTATTAAAGGCTTTGGTGGGGTGGGGAACTCAGAGAAAGAAAAAAAAAAAAGACCAAGACTTCGCTGTGAACGTAAAACAGTTTGGTTCCGGGTATCAGAAAAGGAGTAGGAAAGGGAGACTGGAAGCTACAGATGAACTTTTTTTTTTTTTCCTTTGGAGAGAAAATATTTCAGGGAGAAAGCCCAGTATTTATATTATGTTCATATGCAGGGAGTGTATCGCTACTGGGGGAGAAAGTAATTTAGGAAAGAAGTAGACGGGAAGGGTAGCAACATCTTTTCCGCAAACGTCACGGCGCCTCTGACGTGCACAAGATGGCAGTTGTTGCTCCCATAGCCATATGCGGCAGCACAGACATCTTTTTTATTCCTTCTTACAAGTAAATTTAGATAATCTGGGCAAAGAAATCTGGGTTTCTACTTTTATTGGTGAGATTTTAAAGCATTTCAAATTAGACATTTTTTTTCCTTATATAAGACCACAACAAGGTAGGACATTAGGTGTAGAATGATTCACTGTACCTTAATACATTTAAAGGTGGTTTTTCTGGATTAAAAGCAACTAAGGGACAGAGTAAAGAGTGTACCATTTTGAGACTCTCAGGTTGGCATCTTGCTGGATTTGTTCACTTCTCCAAAGTGTAAATATGTGAGGCTAATGCTTGGATGTTGGGACAGCCATGTAGGAGTTTGGAAACTGGTGGAGAATATTTAAAGTGAGGAAGATAAATATCTAGAATTGGCTCGTATATGTAGAAACCTCAGGGTAGGTTCAAAACACAGCTATGGTCAAAAAATATGTAGTTAACTAAACTTGAAAATCAGAGGCTAAAACAATAATCATATTAATGCCAACCTTAGATGACTAAGTTGGAAAGGCAATCAAGAAGAAATGGGAATTGCAACAAGCCTCAAAGATCCATTTTTTCCCCGTGTTGGACATGTGTGTAGAAGCAATTCCAGGTGGCTGAGTATGACAGAAGGAAATAGCAGACCTCAAATGCCTGCTATATATCTATGCTGTGCTATGGGAAATATCAAAATATTTAAGAGATATATACTTTCATCTTCACAGAGTTTATAATTCAGTTGCATGATAATGGTTAACAATGCTGGTTTAATGGGTTTATATTCCAGTTTTTCCCCTCACTAGCTCTGTGTTCTTGGGTAGGATATTTAATCTCTTCAAGCTTAATTTCCTCATCTGGGAAACATTGGTAATTGTATCTCTTATAAGGCAGTTCCGCCTGCCTCCTTTCAGTTCTTCCACAAGGCAAGCTCTCACTCCTCTCACAGATTTTGCACATGTTCGCGTTATCAGGAAAGCTCTCAGCATGGATGAATATTTGGAGTTTGGCCATTCATGTCACCTCCTCAGAGAGCTTCGGTTCAGAAAAATATCATGGGGGGGGGCAACCCTCTGGGGTCCCCTCCCTCTTCCGGAGCTTTGTACTATCACTTTGCTATCACTCAATAAACTTTGCTTTGCCGCCCACCAAAAAAGAAAAATCTCATGTTGGGGTTCCTGGGTGGCTCAGTAGGTTAGGAACCCAACTCTTGATTTCAGCTTGGTGTTGATCTCAGTGTCCTGAGTTCAAGCCCCCGGTTGGGCTCCATGCTGGGTGGAGCCTACTTTATATATATATAATATTATAAAACAGAAAAATATGTCTATATCTACAGGTGAGGCTGTTAAAATACTAAAGGGCTGCATAAAAAGGAGGATGCTATTATTATCATCCATCCTAACTAGGGCTTGTTTGAGATCTAAGGAGTTCTGGAGGATGTAGGCTCAGGAAACTTCTCTGTGATGGGCCAAATAACAAGTACTAGGATTTGCTGGCCATACCCAACAAACGGGAGCGGCTGTGTTCCAGTAAAACGGAATTTATGGACAATGAAACGTGAATTTCTTACACTTTCCACTGCCACTGGACCGGATTTGGCCTCTGCCCTGCGGTAGACAGACCCCTGCTCTACGAAGATGGCAGACACGAAGGGACTTGGAAAAGAACCGAGATTGTGCCGCAGGTACCGGGGATCAGATAGCCGCTGTGCCAGGCTGTCAACCTCCCTGGACGCCAACGACCTCTTAAATGGGGCTGTGGCCCCCATGTCGGGGTGTGCGATGAGGGTTAGAAGAGTACGAGACGCTCCTCAGTGGGTAATTCTTTTTCAGCGGCCGCGCCTCGGAGGGGCGGACCCCACCCCGGGCGGCGGCTCGGCGGGGCCAGGGCGGCGGCGCGGGGAGAGGCCTGGCCTGGCCGCGCGGCGCGAGTCGAGGGCGGGGCGGCGGCGCAGCGTCGTCGTCGGCGTCCCCGCCTCCTCCCCAGGGGCCGCGTCGGATCCTCGGCGGCGGCGGCGCTCACAGCCTGAGGAGAGCGGCTTGCCTGGAAGCGGCGGCGGCCATCCAGACCCACCCGAGGCGCGTCCCCCTCGGCCTCCCCACGCTCCCAGGCCGCAGCGGCCGCGCCCCTTTAGCTCGCTCGCTCGCCTTCCTTCCCTGCGGCCGGCTGCGCCATGGCGTTGGCGTTGGCGGCGCTGGCAGCGGTGGAGCCGGCCTGCGGCAGCCGGTACCAGCAGGTGAGCAGCGCCGAGTCCCGCCCCGGCCCCCCGGCCTCCAGTCCTCGGTCCCGGACCCTGCCCCGCCGGCCGGCCACTTCAGGCGTCTCTGGCCCCAGCCTGTGGCCGACGCGACGCCGCGGCTTGGCAGGCCGCGCCCGGCCTTACAGGGCCGGGCGGGCCCAGAGCTCGGATTCGAGGCCGCCGCGAGCCCGGCCCATCCCTCCGCGACCTGGGGCGGCACTCGGGCGATGGAAAACCTCTGCCCCGCAGCGTTTCCCGCAGTTCCCGCGGCGGGCGGGTCCCCGAGGCAGAACCCGCGACCCTCGGGAGACGGCGACCCAGGGGCATTCAGTTTTCCTTGCTCCTCTTTTGGTTTGATGTCATTGGAAAGAAGAAAAAAAAAAAAGCAAGCGTGAGATGGGAAAGGAAACGAGGTGGAGAGAAAAGATTAAAATCGCTGCTACTGCGGCCGACAGCTCCCCGCGACGAGATGCGATTGCTCAGGGTTTCAGAGCCTAGTCTGTTTGTGGAAACCCATCTCCCTCGCCTCTGGTTTTAAGACAAAAGTCAAAAAATGAGACGAGAGGCAAGTCCGCAGTTTGCAGTAGGTTTGGGAAAGGTGATGTTTAATTGGGGCGATGCCCCAAAATGTCGAGCTTCGTGGAAGGCTGCAGGGCGTGTGCCTGGGTGTGTGTTTTAAAAGCTTGGAAATGACGTTTAAGGAGATTTAATAGCATGGCTGGGGAGGAAATGTATAGGGGTTGATTGGAGTATTATCCCGGTTATAATTTATAAATTGAGGCCCTAGGGAAAAGAGCTGCTTGTTTTACTCGCCTGTCTCTGTAGCTGGGTTCCCCTCGGAAATTCAGAGACAATCTGCAGGGTTTTTAGTGGTATTTAACCTAACATATCATAATTGTGGGAATTAAGCCAGGTAGGAACTGGTGTTGACTGGAACCGCAGTAACTGCTTGCGTTTTGTCGTTTCAGATGTTTTTGATACAATTTGCATACAAATGTCAGTCGTGCTTTTATGATATTAAGTGTCCTATCATTGATGAGCTACAGTTTTGTGTTTTAGAAATAAGGAAAACCAGTATGATTAAAACATCTAGATTAACCCAGTGCAGCCAGTTACCAGTTTGTTTTGCTGTCATCAGGGCTGTGTTGTAATTTCCTCCCTCCTCCAGCCGGACTTCTGAAATGACTGGTTAAGAATTTAGCTTCTTGGTTTCATAAACACGCCCAAACTGTGGCAGTGCAGTCTAGTCCTCAGATCTCTCACAGCCTGGGGTCTGGCACATGCTTTTTTGTATGACCTTGGGCAAGGCTCTGGGTTCCTCCCTGCTTTAATAAAATACAAATGACAAGTGTCACTTAACTGTCTCCACAGTGTTCAAAAATCACATGTACCCCACAGTGTGATCTAATTCATTCTTTTCATCCTGCTTTGGATAAGGCAAACAAGCAAAAAGCTGTGGTTTTTCTTTGTACTGCCATCTTCTTGAGCTATTAGGTAATGCTGACATATTGCTGGAATACAAAAAATTTGGTGGAGTATCAGAACTATGCTTTGCTTGGTGTAGTGGTTAATAGCTTTAAAGATGCAGAATTGAGCTGTCGGGGAGAGGCCTCATCTTTATTTTATTTTTTAAAAATCATTGTTTCAGAAATAACCTCCAAAAACCATGAAGAAAAAAAAAGAATCTTCCTAGAAAAATTGCAAAATATGAAAGCCAGCCCCCCCCCAAAAAACCCCACAATAAAAATCTATCACCCATAGGTAACCAAAGTTAATATTCTGATGTGTATCTTTGTGGACTTATAGGTATGTAAATATATGTAAGTATAAATCAGTATACATGTTTACAGATAAGGAAAGCTAATATTGACTGAGCATTTACTACATGCCAATCACGGTAGTAAGTGCTTTACATCCATAATTTCACTAATCCTCATAAAACCCCCGTGAGGCAGGGTTTGGTATTATTGTATAGATGACAAAGTCAAGACTCCAAGAGGCTCATTAACTTAAGGTCACAGCCTCTAAGTAGTGATTACAAGGATAAATACACACTTACCTACTTAAAACCACAGGCTCACATTCCAAATATAGGCATGTGCATTTGGCAGATGTATATGTGCATATGTATTTTTCTCTTGTACCCATACATATATACAGGCACATCTTTGTACACGTGTACCATTCCATGGGCCACTGATTATACTTGCACACATTTGGTGCATATGTGCACATGTGTTTGTTTACACACACACTGTGCCCATGTGTATCATGTTCTCAGACACATGTGCATTCACAAATTTGCATGTACGTGTATTTGTTTACATGTATGTACAGAGGCACACAGTATTGCTATGTTAGGGTAGTTTAATATTTTCATGTCTGCATAGCATGTAACTGGTTGTACCGTAGTTCAAGTCAGTTGCCTACTGTTGGTCACTAAGTATGTTCATAATTTTTTTTATTCACTGAAGTTTCATTTACATACATCTTCATCTCTTTTCCTTAGTATAAATTTTCAGTTGTGGAAACGCTTGGTCAGAGAGTATACATATTTAAAAGGCTTTTGCATTATAGAATATTGGTGAATTGTCCAGGCAACTTGATAGGAGCATGATACTCTGGTTGTCACAAAAGGCAGTTCTGACTTCTCTTTGATCTGGTTGGTCAAATAGAGCTGGTTCTCCTCTAGTAAAGTAAATGCAGTGGAAGACTGTATGATTCATTACTAAAGACAAACACAAGTTTGCCTTTATGGGTTTTTTATTGGGAGTGCACAATGTGCACAACTTGAATTTAGCGTTATGACAGACTGCACAGAAAGCCTGGGCTCATAGGTTCCCCATGTGTTTATTTTTTTTCCCCTTTTTGCATTTTGAAGCTGAGATTGTATATCCAAACATTCAGAAGCATTGTTTCAGAAAGGTGTAGGGAGGCCCAGGGTTGTGAAATTTGTAATACGGCGCTCCCTCTGCAGGTGTTTGTTCCTGTTCATCCATTCCAAGCCCTCTTTGCCTCACTGGACTGTATCTTTGCCTGTTTTATGAATTTTGCCAAATACTTCCTGAAATGTTTTCAGCTCTTTTGATTTGAATCTAATCTAAGGAGGCAACAATGACACTACCATATAGGCTTAAAAATAGACTGTAAAATGTTTAGTTTTAGACTTACTGCCTGCTGAAGAAGTTGCCCACTGGTAAGCATCACTAATAGGCTTGTAATGCAGTCTGATGACATTGTAGAGCTGCTTTGAGAATGATACCTATTTGGATAAATTCTCTCAGGATTGTGGAGGAAGGTTTTGATAGATCAGGGAAAGAATTTCATCTCTGCCAAGCCAAACCATATTTATGCTGAAGTGTTAGATGAAGTCAGATCCTGGAGGAAGGGGCAGAAAGTGCCTGTGTGGTTTTATTTTTTTAGTTTGAAAACTTGTAATTATATCTTGGAATGCACCTTAGAATGTTATGTCAAGATTTTAAGGTTATTTTGCTGTATTTGTGGCCCATATGTGCAATGATCAAAGAAAACTTTTCCAAAAATACTGAGATGGGTAGAATTGTTTTTTTTTTTAAACTTTTAAAAATTGTAGTAAAAAAAATACATATAATTTACCATTTTGACCATTTTTAAGTGTACAGTTCAGTGGCATTAAATACATTCATATTGTTGGGCAACCATCACCACCATCCATTTACAGAACTTTTTCATCTTCTCCAGCTGAAACTCCATACCCATTGAACAATAACTGCTTTCTTTCCCCTTTCCTGACCCCCACAACCATCATTCTATTTTCTATGAATTTGATTACTCTAATACCTCATGTTAGTGGAATTATATAGTATTTGTCCTTTTGTGGCTGGCTTATTTCATTTAGCTTCATATCCTCCAGGTTTATCCATGTTGTACAGTCAGAATTTCCTCCCATTTTAAGGCTGAATAGTACTGTATGCATATAGCCTATTTTGTTTATCCTTTCATCCAAAGATGCCCATTTGGGGTGCTTCTGCCTTTTGACCAGTGTGAATAACGCTGCTGTGAATATGGGTGTACAACTATCTTTTGAGTCCCAGCTTTCAATTCTTTTGGGTATATACTCAGAAGTAAAATTGCTGGTTCATATGGTAATGCTTTTTTAAATTTTTTGATTAAAAAAATATTTTTCCATAGTACCTACACCATTTTACATTTCTACCAGCAGTGCATAAGAGTTCCAATTTTTTTTTGAAGAGTTCCAATTTTTAACATCTTCATCAACACTTGTTATTTTTTGATAAAGCCATCCTAATGGGCATGAAGTTGTATCTCACTGTAGTTTTGATTTACATTTCCCTAATGATTAGTGGTATTGAGAATTTTTTTATGTGCGTTTTGGCATCTGTAAATCTTTGGAGAAATGCTTGTTCAAGTCCTTTACCCACTTTCGAATTGGGTTCTTTGCTTTTTGTTGAGTTGTAGGAGTAGTCATTTCTTAGTAATATTTACATCTTCAGCTTTTTACTATGAAAATTCCAAACATATACTAAAATTATAATAAATCTAACGCACTCATCGCTCAGCTTCAACAGTAATCAACAAATGGGTAATGTTGTTTCATTTATACTCCCCACCATTATTTTGAAGCAAACAATAGAAATCATGTTATTACATCCATAAATATTTTTGTGTGTAACTCTAAAAGATGTTGTAAGCAGTTAGTATCATGTGAGAAATAAATCATGAGAGCCCTTTTGTAATCTTTTATGAATATGGAAACAGGATTTGTGTCAGGAGCTGTAGATCTACAACTGTGATTCTTATTTGACTCCCTCTTGGTAAGCAGTGACTGTTTTTTTGTAGCGGTGATGGATACTTGCTGATTCATTCTTAATTTTTTTGCCTGTTCCTACTGGTGACCACTTGTTGGGGAGATTTAATTGGTTTTATCATTCTCTCTTTGCACTGAGGGACTAAGGCCCAGTTGAGGAAATCCTGGCATCATCTCAACTGACACCACC